TCCCGGACATTTTGAGTTTTCCAGCAGATGCATTACGGACGATGCAGTTTGTTTATTCCACCGGTGGCCTTCCAATCATATCCCAGGGTTCGTTTTGAAATCAGAGTGAGGTCAGAATCTCTATCAAGTTGGAGGGTAACTGGTGTGACATTGATACACAATTTGACGAATTCACGTCGACCGGGTGATTTCATCCTGAATGTAGTGGTCATGGCCCCTGTCTGCGTCCTTTTGTCGGGTCGGTATTTGCGCGAGCTCCTGAAGTTGTCTCTGCAGCATTCTTTTTCATCCCTTCGAATTCACTTACTGCACCTGTGGTTCCGGTAAGGAGTGAGTTTGGGGAGTATTAAACTTCTGAGTTGATCATGTTCAGCTGTTCCCAGTTTCCACAGCAACGGTCGAGTTTTCTGTGCATCATAAAACTGAGCAAAGTCTTTTTTGTTACATGTCCTTGTATTTCCTGAACCAGCTTTTGAAAATTCGTCGGAATTGAATTTAGTAATCGAACTGCCAGCAGCATCTGGGGAAGAAGATGGAAGCCCAACTGTTTTTGTCGCACTCACCAACATACTGCTCAACAGAGATTCAACAAAGCACATTTGACCTTCCTCGAACTGATGCTGTTGCTGCCATAAAATTATTTGGAGTTGCTCTGTCGAAATAGACATCGGAGGTTTTGGTTATCGCCAGTTGTTGTGTCTTGCTGAACGCCTTTGCAATGTGTAGAGTGCAACATATCCGGACTGGCTGCTTTGTCGATTTGAAGAAATGACGCCCGGCGCCGGATTTCCTTCGCTGGTGGGAACTTCTGATAATGCTCCATTCAGGTTTTGAGGTTGCGTTTAAAAAGGTCATTTCTCGCGGAGAGGCGATTCTGCGAGGTAATTGATGTTTCATCTTTTCCACCGGTACCTCTTTCTTTTGCCCAGTTGATCGAGTCAGTCGAAATAATTCCCTCAGGAAAATTCTTCGGCTCCTTGGTTTCGCTAGTTTCGTCTCACTCTAGACTCTCTTTTGCTTGGCGTTTGAGGAATCTGTGCATTGTCCAAAAATGGATGTTGTTCAGCATTCATCTGAAACCGTTTCCCAGTACCTACGCGTTGAGCACCCACTCCCTAGTCTATCACCTAAATATGCCTATTCGGGGCTTAGTCAGCCATCTTAGACGTTCAAATTACCCTCCAGGGTGACCATATCCGTCCTTTTGCTGCCCGAGGCAGCCGTGACCCTACTGATAAAAACTTACTTTTCTCTGCCTGAAAAACCGATGGTTAGAGACTTTGGAAGACAGCCCAGTCGAACACTGACGTACGCATTCAGGGCGTTATCTTCGATTCATGGCTCCCACCTCCCCCTTCTCGGCCCGCACTGAAAAGTACTATGTAACTCCTGGATTTGCGCTTCAGTTTTATCAGCTACTCTCTCCAATACACAGCCGGATCATCGGGAGCGAAAATGTGGCAACTGTCACCGCTATACAACATGTGCGTGGGTTTTACAGCCACCAAAATGTAGTATGTCAGTAAACGAACCTCGTATCGATATGCAATGAGGTCAACTGAACCGGACGACCCTACAACACAGAGGTGACTGTGGTAGAATCCAGTCGAACAAAACACTGAGTCCTGGGGTTGAGAGCGCTTCTCAAGTCAGAAATATGGTGATTCATTGCACCAAATTTATCCTATTCCCGGTAGTCGGTATGGAGTGCATGACCGAAGTAGGGTCTTATATGCGCATTTCGGAGACGCGATGTTCATCTACAGAAATGGAAGATGAGGTTCTGTTGTTGCCTATTTCGACATTGTAAGCTGCAATGTGGAGCAGATCTTTCGGGTTTAGTAAAGGCTATGCTTATTTTACAGGGAGATAGTTTCAACACGGAACAATATTTAGATGACTGACAGTTGAGTGGATCGCGGTTGGCGATAGCGGAGACAGGTGAGGCTGTTGGATGAACTCCGAGGGAAATTTGTATGAGGCATCCCTCCTCCAGCCAATGACTCAAAATTTTGACCCACTAGGCAGAAAGTAGTAGAGTTTAATTGGATGCTCTACTCGGAGTCAGTAATTCAAAAGCCAAATCCGATTGGCTTGGGGGGAGATCCTGGATCGATGTCCCAACGAATGAGGTGTAGATGTCTCACTCGTGGTGTTTCTACCCACAGGAGCCCCATTTGTGGCCTGTTGAGCTCTTGGTGAGTTTTAATTGTATTTCAGTCGTATTGGATATTTCACCGGCAGCCACGGACACCTGGTAGGCCGTGAGATGTACAGTTTTCACGTCCGACGCTTTCCGACTTTTCCCTTATCGGGGAAAAGCTCCCGTAGGTATGGACATTTTGGTCACATGGAGGAAATACCTAACTGGATTCACACTCCTGTCATGGAGGATGGTACAACTTTACCCACAGACTGCACCGTGTTACGACCAAGCATGATACGGGATTGCTGTCCTTCTGGTCGCTACCCTTTGTCACTCTTGATGTGGTTAGCACTTGCGGGACGAAGCTCAGTAAACGCAGCGCTGCGTCGTAAAGGGGACTGACGCGGTTTTTGACCCTATTATTGCAATACAATCTCACACTGCCAAATAAGTCGTGGACAAAAACGGTGGACGGAGTGGGAGGAACTTTTTGGTCCTACAAGGTCCCATCTAGGGTTGACAACTGTCGTGTACTCTCCATCCGTGTTAATTTATCTCAATGCGTACACCATACCACTAAGAGAATGTGTCTTTCTGGTGTGAAGCCCGTGGTTTAGGAGAGAACACCCTGTGCAGCGTGCCTCAAAGCTCGCCCATGGCCCTACCGTCATCGCCCACGGTGAGGAGCACGAATCTATGAATTTATACTGCTGGTAATGTGAGGAGATTTGGTGATATTCAATAGAGGCTTCATCCTGTCAGGGAAGTCACTCTGTACTGAAAGAAGCACCACAGCTGTTTTGTCTGTCGGGAATCACCAGCAGTGCGCAACTAACGAAACTCAGAGTTTCCAACCCTGGACGTTCCGGCCAGTGGTTTAATACTTAACCGTTTGGCCATGATTGGCTGATCAGCAAAGTGTTTAACCTTCACTTAGACAGGACATAGCGTCACTCATGCTTCAATACCGGAAACCACATCACGTGGTCAGGTGTTGACTGAATCCTCGGGTGACGACTTCTCAGAGGAAAATTTCACTCCGTCCGTGAAATTATCCTTCCTCTGCGTTGTATGTTGTTTCATATTCCACAAACTGCTACACTACGCGGGCTTTCAAACTCTGGTTAATCACACGGGTCATTGTCACTCCCTCTCCAAACTTACTAACACAGGAAAATAAAGGGGAAGTGAATTTAGATTTCCAGTTCACTGCAACCACCTTGACTGCTCTGGATATTCCACAATTTTTGTTCATGACCGTGGAATGTCTCAAATAACGTCGTTTTAGCTCCATCGCTGGCCCCTTTCAAAACAAATTACCGAATCCCCTCTGACCCAACCGCATTTTTCATCTGATTTCACGAACATTACTTTGAACATGTGTTCCATCCGGTATCTTTCCAACTCCACTAGATGGGTATTGTAAGCTCTCAATTTCTCTGATTCGGTGAAATGGAGTGAAATAAAATTGCATTCTTCCGCCTACATTCATCTGTAACACGGATTCAGGCTTACGTAATATTTTTAATGCATATTATGTAGTGATATAATCTTGCCTATGCGGCTGGTAGAAGTGTTTGGACGGTGCGCTACAGATTTCACCGACCTGAGATTCATTATGTAGGTGTAATGCCAGAGCATCCATCAATCGTAGTTCCTACGCAAAGTTTAATTTTTTGTAATCTGCACTATATGCACGTTTGGAAAGTAGGTCAGTGTTAACGGGAAATTCGAGTGAATTTCAACTGAACTGATGTCCATCACAAGTGGCGAGAAGTAAGTGTTTTAGACTTTGAGCCACTCGCCCCGGAACTGCTTACAGAAGCCCTAACATTTTGCCTGAGTCCACAAGCCGTGGGCTTCCGCATGACTTGTAAATCTGTTGAACTTAGGCAACCTATGTTGCTTTTTAAAGAACATAACGAGACCATAGATGCGCACGAAATGCTTTTAAGAAAAGTTACGAGCGCAAGTGTAGGAACATCAGCCAGAGAGCTAGTTTCCGAATGCCAATTTTCTAACATTCTTTGCTTTAGCTTGCTCCCAAAACTCCCCTTATTCGTCCGACCCCCTACAACCGAACCAATTTACTGGCGTGCGAGCACGCAATAATTTTGGATCATACTGTCTAAATGAAGGGAATTTTATGTGGGACAGCACTAACAGATGGTCACCGAAATCTAGTCTTTGCACAACACATAGCTAAGTACTTGCACTTCTGCGAATTTCGAGCTTTCCTTGAAGTGCATGGTGTCATGGAACATAGCTGGTTCACTACTTTTCGTTACATCTTTCACTCGGTATCATTCATGTGAAAGTTTGGGTAGTTTGCCTAGACAGGTTCTGTTGTAAAGTGAGCAGCTTGTTCCACCTTTTTGGTGATCGCATGCCTAGTCCTCAACTGACACTTGGGTGCCCGGGTTCAAATTCTCACGACTAAATCACGGATGAGCGAGGTGGCTCAAGTGGTCAGAGCGCAATTTACTGGCCAGAAAGTATGTGGTTTGAAACCGACCTTTGCCTCCCGACTTTTCTGTCTAGGCTTGGGCAACCTGACAGTATCCCAGCCCTCGTGCTTCCTTCGGGTGACACGGCAGCTAGGCACCGAAAGAGTGATACAGCTGAACGATTAACGGGTGGTCGTTAATTTACGCCCTAATAGTTGTAATTGCTAATTCACTTAAGGAAATCGACATGTTTTATGTAAAGCAGAGTTAAAGTTTCGCATATTCCTTGGCCTTCTGCAACGTCTTCACTCTCATTGTGAGACACTGGACTTACCAATGACCAAACTGCCCGACCTCCGGTTTGGCCTGCTCTCAGATTCGTCTACTAGTTTCTCATTTTTGTTTCAGCCTCTACTCACCCCACAGCAATATTGAGTGATCTCAACCTGTTGACACTTTCATTTAAACTACATCTGGTCTGAATTACAGAGAAATGGCGAATATCAAGGTTAGCTCGTGATTTTTTTTAAGAAATAGGTCGTAGAATGTTTCATGCTTCATTCATAAACCTTGGTGCAGTTGCTCGTTTTCCGGGGAACTCCTGTTTATTAATGACCAGTTTTTTCACACTTAGGGGGAAAGTCAACGCCCGACAACGACATGAACTTGATTGTATCGTCAAAACTGAGTTGACCAATTACACTGTTGTCCAGTTGGCCGTAGCTGAATGCATGCATTTGGTTTTATCAGGAAACTTATACGTTCGGATCATTTTTGGGGTTAGTGAGTTGTACACCACTGATGAATCCCAACGCGGATGAGGCATTTCTCGTTTTTTTGGAACAGAGTGATTTATAAGAATAAGCCTGAATTTGAGCCACGATAAAGTCCTTTTTTATGACTTCGCGCCGTATCTCTTGGAAGGCACAATAGATAAACGCCTGCCAGGCCCTCCTTGTCTGGACGAGACATGTAGAAAATTAGGGCTGCCGTGCCCTCTGCCATCTCAGGCTCCATGGTCCCGCATCTCTGAAAACGAACAAAGGGTTCTTGGAATTGTAGTGGATTATGGACACCATATACCGATATTTTGGGGGAAGACTGGTCACATTAGAATCGCGCACGGCTATGCAGGACTCCTTCAGGAAACAGAAAACGAATAGTGCGGTGGAAATTCGTTTTTTTTGTAACAAATGTGCGAATCAATTGCTTTATAACTCTCTGGTCATCTGTGAGAAGACGGAAACGTGACGTGAGACTAAGTGATACTAGCCCGACGAAAGCGTCTGTCTGACCCTTCAGTGAACTACTATGGTGTAGTTATTGTTCATGCCTAAGCATAGACCCCACGGATCTTCCTCCAGCGGTGTTCCGATGCCAGAAGTGCATCAACGATCTTATGAAACTCGCATATCACATTTTTGTGTTTGCTTTTTCGCTCAGGTAACCATGTCATGACGGTTCGATGCTAAAGGTGATAGTACGTTTACTACTCTTGCTTCGTAGCTATCTGGATGCAGCTACGTAACTTTGGCCACCCGTACCGATTACCACCCATACTATCATATAAGTAACTGCCCACAGGACGTGTAGTTAACAGCGCCTTCAACTTAACACTCCAAATGTCCAGTTGTAATCTGGCTTGGTGTCGAAACACCTAGTCGACATCTGCTCCAGTTAATTACTATCTTGTGTTGTCTACCTGTGATCTAACAATCGTACATATACCGCACTTGCCTTACTTTGGAGTTTTTATGTTTCCATGCTGTTGCCGAACTACCCGCATTATTGTGACGCGGCAAAACTTTTCCAGTTCATACCGATCTCCAGCGACCACTCGTATACAATGAACAATTTTAGTTTGTCACGTCAAATACCCGGCATGACTCCTTTAGGATAAGTTTCCAGTGCAGCCAGGGCTAAACTATTCCTGGACTGTCCCATCCCTCAATAATTTAAGAACAGATGTCCACGGTATGTTATGGCATATTCCGATTCATGGGATCCACCGAGTTGTATTACCTTTTTCAACAGTATGTCGAAATCTTGGTAGGCCGCTTGCTTTAATTCGTTTTAAGTCAGATGGCAGTTGATCTGTCCTCATATATCCGGAGACGGGGGCGAGAAGGTCCGTGGTTCGAACCTGACCTCTACCTCTCGACTTCCCCTGTCTAGGCTCGGGCAACTTGGCAGTATCCCAGCCCTCGTGCTTCCTTCTAGTGGCATGGCAGTTAGGCACCGAAAAGTGGTACAAGTGAACAATTTTTTTGTCCGCACATGAGCTATCACTTATGGGTTTTGGGCCTTAATAGGGTTTACCAGCTTTGCGGTGGCTTACGATTAACCGAATCCAGCGCAGCTCTAAATTCAGTTAAGGATACCATGGATTGATTTAAAACGATGTTCAAATGTTTTTTGCGAAGAGAATGTTTGGTCCGCACAGTTTCCTCTAGGACGAAACTTTGTTTGGTCTTGTCTTGTGTGTGTAGCCGGTGTTCAGGAAAAATTTGCAACGGAAAGGACTACAATACTTTTGTGGCAACATCGATGAGGCTAATCACAGACCATTAACGCCTTTTTCGAGATTGAGGCACACCAATTTCGTATAACGGAAACAATTCTCCGGGTTGAGCAAAACCGCTTGTCGAGTGGTTTGAGAAGTGTATGGGGGGTGAGATTTATAGGTTTCAACAGGAATCTCATCTTCCGAGGCCTTAGTGTCCGAAAATTACTGGGATTTCCAGTCTACTCGGCGTGTGAAGATCTACCGTTGTGGTGATACCTGCTGACTTTGATTTTTTTGATAAGGAAACAGTTATTTGGATATTCAATCCCTGCGACCGTTGTGCTTGGCCTAGCTGGTCTACAGCGGCTAGGTTTACATGGGGTTTTAAAGCTCTCCACTGGTCGTTTACTTGAACTAACCGGTTATCTGATTGGTTAGAGCAGTGGTTATGGCATTGAAAAGGTCTCTTGTTTCTTGGGGTGGTTAAGTAGCACCGTTTTGGAGGACATCTTCCTCTAACAGTAAGATAGATGTTAATCCCCGGTGCGCAGCCGTATGATCTGTACCTCTTGCATCTCCAGAATTCGCGCGTCTATAGGATTTATACTGTTCAAATAATAACGTTTGTCGTGCGCATACTACAATATAGTCTAGATGGGTGACCGTGTGACAATAGTTTGAATACCATTTGAGTGTCTTCTAAGGTAATGAAAAAAGGTATTGAGATATTGTGAGGAAGAGGCAAGTTTCATCATTGGACTAACGCCAAACCTCGTGGTGCATAATGTCGTCTAGACCACCACTTTGAGCATTTCAGTCGGCTCCTACTATCAAGAGGTCCCGTCTTTAGGTCTTGTTGACCATCTGCTGCAATTTTTCATAGAAACATTCCTTCATGGTTGAGCCCGATACGGACGTGTGGAATAAGCAGCTATAACAGTTAATTTCACTAAAATCCTTCGGGATGAACTTCCTTGAACCTTGAAGACACTGGATTCCAGACGATAAGTGCATTGTTAATACGACTACTTCCCACATGGTGTCTGGCATGTGCGCTGGTACGGTGTGATGGAACTTACTTGGATTTGTCGTGTACCAGAGTTATAAAACCATATCTCTTAAAGATAGCTGATATCCAGTTGATAGTCATGAAGACTTCACATTCAGATACTTTGTTTGGCAGCATCGAGTAGGATACAAACATCCCAATAACTAATGAAGAATGGATTTATTACATCGAAAACCCCAGCTTCCTTTCAGGTCGCACCAGCCACAAGACCAGAAAAGGGTGCGTCGCTTCCCTGAACGTTGCAGCACAAACAGACATTATCATTGACGTCCCAAAAGGTTTCGTTGCGGGTTGCTCCCTCCTTGGCTTTTGATTGAGAATGCACCTCCAGCCTTTGCTCAAACTATAGCAAGGAGCGCACAGCGAACAGTTGATGAAAAACATCATCGTGGCTGTTGGATTCAGAATATAATATCACCTATGCAGTCCACAGAAGCCGGTTTATCTTCTCCCCACTACTGGTTTGGAATCAGGGTTGAGCTGCCTCCCCTAGAGAGATAACCAGTGGACCATCGAACAGGTGAAGCACCCGACACCCGCTTTTGCCTTTGCACTTTGGTGAAAACACCACCAGAAGGCAGCGAAGAGGTCATGGTAGCGGGCCACGTGAGAGCATTTCACTGGCATGTAAGGGACATGGTTACTCGTTTCCAAAAAATGTTCCTCTTCGACCATGGTGAGACTTTAGGAGGCGCGACCTCTATTAGGTCAAAAGCTTAGAATCGCCATACCTTAAGTGGCAGTTTTATCCGTGGGTATCTATGCAGCTGTACCCTCGAGGACAAGTTGTCTCCGAACCCCGAACGAATTTACCCGCCGGAAAAGTTACTTTCATTGCGAAAACCAGCTTCAGTTGAGGAGTTCGCAAGTCGAAAATTAATGTGTTGACTCCATTCCATTATGCTCTCTTGCTCAAAGTTATTTCGTTTGAAATGTGTCAAATAAGGGCATGAGTGTGCACAAGTTCATCCATTAGTTGTCCGACTAGTTGTCTGTGGTATGTGGTATAGTTGTTATCGCTGCTCATACTTGAGTGTGTGCTTCGTGGGTTGCCAAACGTGTCAAGTAACTTTAGAATCCAGAAAAACGAAGGTGGGCAACCCATCACTTGTGCTCATCTCGTGTTGTCCAAGCAGCCCCCTCCATGGCCTTCGGGACATCAACCACTGCCGTCAAATGAACTCCCATGTTTGATTCCGTGCGGGTGTTTGGTACGGTTAACCGGTTAACTGATCAGACGATGACTAAGAGTACCGTGTCAAAATCGACTGATTCAGAGCTGACTGTGTTTGAATGCACTAATTCACAAATATTCAGGAGTACTGTGGGATGTCTTCTAGACAGTGTATATTGGGTGTGCCAATTTCGACACTTATGTTCAGAACATATGCTGACCACCTGCTATATGATTGACATCTGTTTGAGCTTTACTGAAATGAAGGGTTTTGATAACACAACAGTAATGGAAAATGACGAGAAAGCTCTACTGGAAAGTGCGCTCAGCCAGACGAAGGACTTAGCTGAAAATCTCTGGCGATTTTCATATACTTTTCAGTTTTCTCGCGGAACCAGGTAGCATCAATTGCGAAAACTACCCGAATCCTTCTGTCTGTCGACCTTCCACAGAGACATGCTTTATTGTTTCAATGAAGTGTTGCAGGCTTATTACTATGCCTCCTTATAGACAGTACTTTTAGAGAAAAGCCACTATCGCATGTTGCTGAGGCTGTTTTACTTTAAGTTATACCATTGCGGGAATAAGTTGAGGTGTTTGAATCTGTTATGTGAATGGGTCCGATAATCTGAATGCTCTTCCTGTGCTATGTGCAGATTACTAACATTTACAGGTCAGAACGCAATGCTGGAGGGGGGACAACGACGACTATCAAAAAACATACCGACGGGTTTACTAACCTGAGACACTTACATTCTTTTTTAGCGTACATTCTTGCAGCTTTCCGTACGGAGAAATTTCAGTACTAAAAAAGCTCAGTGGTCAAGATGCGAACTTACTGACCAAATGGCCCGTGGTTCTAACCCATTCCCGGTTTATTGACCTCTCTTGTCTAGTATTAGGCAACCTGGCAGTATCTCAGCCCTCGTACCTCCTACGGATGGCATGACAGTTGGATACCGAAAGGGTGTTACAACTGAACTATTATTACTACTGTTATTATTTTACTAAGAAAGTTTGCCGCAAAACTTTTCAGCTAAAAGGGTGAGATTTTGACTTGCAATGATTAGAGTAGCATTAGGATGATATCGTAGGTTGTTCAGACCATACGCTTACCACTTTTTCTCCCTGTCTGTTTCATGTTCATCGTCGTTTTCATTTACCATGAAGTATGAAGCTTCATCAACTCACATGTGACAGATAAAGGTTGCCTTTGTTCAGGTTTTGAATTTACTTTTTCAACTTTTACATTCTTACGTATTGTTCGCTTGAATATCTCCATACCTTTCACTCTGAATCCGAAGGTGGGTATAATCGGAGGATCCGGGTTGAGCAGCTCGAATATACTTCAAAATGCAACGGAGCGTGTGCTAACGACCATCTTTGGGGACCCCTCGGATAACATCCTGGAAGGTACTATTGAAGGAGTTCCTTGCGCTCTTCTTGCTAGGTGAGTGCTTTTATTCGAGCACTGGTACCATCAGACGACCACACTGGTTTCGCTGCTGCTCATGAGACCATTCATCTGGGACTTTTGTTTGACTGTATTATTCCAGTAGCAACCATTCGACTTAACAAAACCTTCACTTGTGTTTTCCATCACCCCCACTGCATACAGCGCGCACAGAATCCAATCTTGCTGCATCTTATTTCAGTGCACTGCGAATTAGGTCGTTGTAGCTAGTGGAATCGCAAATTTTACAACTTCGGGTTCACAATATTAGTTTTTTCTATAGTCAGCAAGTAGCTTTTCCTTTCATCTGTTCGTAACAGTGGCGTTACAGAATTTAACATGACAAGGTGAAAGTAACTTGAGTATCTGGACATTTTTTATGCTACAATTGTTATATTAATATTATATTAACTGTTATTTGCGATTGTTTGAAAGGTATAGTCAGAAGGCTTAAAAGATCTCCTTTACATAATTTTATCCTCAGCCTATCACTCACGGAGAGGAACCTCATTGAAACGTCGTTCTAGCATAAACTGAATGATAAATCATAAAAATGCCATCTAACCATACATTGATCAAGCACTTGAATAGCCGTGCGAAACAACTCAGCAATCAACAATTCACATTTGTGTATTTGAGACTGAAATCCATTCGCCGAGCCGTTCGTTCTTGTTGCAGTGTGTTTACCCACTGATAACTCAACAAGAAAAGTTGGCAACCGAATCGGCCACAAGAATACGCAAAATGGCAATCTGAGTAGGACCAGCGGCACATCTTAGAATGCTTGCGGCATCTGTGAATCCATTCAGTCTAAAAACACATTCCGTTTGTCAAGAATGACTGGACAGTGACTCTGACAAACAACTAACCAAACGGATAAATGCATTCATCTTCCTACGCCGGAGTGCCAGACTTAGTGGATGCCGAATTCCAAGAAATGTTCAATGTCCGTGGCGTGACTTGTCGCACGACTGGAGTGAATCTGACTGCACGTGTCGAATATTTAGGGCTACAAACGGCAATTCAGTCGTGTTCAGCTTAGTGGAATATTCGTAGCACACCTGTTTGGCACGTCATACCGCTGGGGTTCAAATCCTTTCGGGACCATTTATGAGCACTGCTGGTCAGACCCAATGTGAGCAGAACTCGTGTTCAGTGCTCCTTCGTTTTGGTATAGACCAGTTAGAATGATCGTGTTCGGACAGGAAGATTGTTCAAACGAGAGTGATGTTGACAAACATTTAAATGCATGGTCGTTGGTTTGTTTGCTGAGCTAGACAATTTGATTGCAAACGTTTCATCACCACTCGAGGTGACATCAGTGCGTTGTTAGGGAGCGTAGTGACGCGCTGCGATGGGTTGGTTGTTGTGATTAGGTCTTGAAGCTCCTCAGTCGATCAAAGGATATTAGGTTGTTGATGTGCGTCGTGCATCAAGTTTGTTTTTGTGGAGGATAGATCTCGATTGCTGATCTTCTGGATAGACCAACTGGATGTTTACTTTCATTAATCGTAGAGCATAGCATATAAACTAGAAAATAATCTGCTGCACTCCGAAGGGCTTCTTTTGGGTCGTCTGTCTGAACACCTTGTTTCCGATTTTCGCTCCCACATTTTGACCTTGATCATTGCTGGTTTCACGTTTTCCTTAGCTCTTGGCTTAACAAATACTCAAGTGATGCGTGACGATGTACCAAATGTGAGACTATTTGGCTTTCCAGAGTTTCTTTCAGCGATTCAATATTAGTTGAATAGTGGCATTAGCCTACTGAGTTCAGAAGCTGCCATTATTGCTATTCCATTTCGCCTCTGACATATTGATTGTGTTATATCCGCTGATTCGCCAATCTGCTGTATCCGACTGTTGACCCGCTCCAGTGCCCAGTGCCGGAGAAAAAAGGCTCACAGAAGGGAACCCAGCAGCTGTATTCCGAACTAGCGAGTGCGAGAGCGTGAATGCGTGTGAGTGCGAAAGTACAACGGTCTCAAGCTATTTTTTGGAGGGACATTGTCTGAACTTGGTCCACTGCTGACGCACGCGGTCTGGCTTTGGTACGAGGCTGTGAAGCGCCGCATATTGAGGGGGCGTTGTCTGTCTGAGCTGAGAGTCTCAGTAGATTTCGGGCATTCAGTGATTGCTCTCAGGACTGTGACCTTCTTGATAGGTTGGTTCTCTGTCGGGTTGAGTTAATTGCTTACTACTTAGCGAACAGGATATCTTGGGTATATCTGAAGTAGTCCATATGTTATATTCCACCAAGCACGTTCCTTAAAAAAACTCGTTTAACTGTAACATGTTAGTTCTCTAACTAAACTTCAAGCCTTCGGGAACAGTACTAGGGTGCCTTTACGGTATGCATCGGAGGTCAAGGTAATCCCATTGCGCATATTTCGGAATTTTTACTGTTGGTCCTCCCTTATTCATTACTTTCAGAAAGTGAATACGTTCAAAGCCCGAGAACTCTCAACCAAGTTTGACGTGGAAACGGCGCCAGTCAGCAGCTAGTAAAACAATCACTAAATACGATCCGTAGTTACTGCTTTCCAGCTTTCAGTTGGCTGGTTTTGTGAACACAGAATTAAGAACAACTGATATCAAGCCAGAATTACGTGTGGGTTAGGCAGACAGCACTCTCACTGCGAGCTGCGTCATTTAGTCCATACAGTAATTTTCCTCCAAGAGATTTGTTCGTAGAATGACTGTAACAGTTATTCCAATAGGATAGCAATGATATTTTGCCTCTTTCAAGATCTACTCCAGAATCTACGATCTTGTCCTCTCGGAGACTCGTACCGTCCTTTCAAAGATCGCAAATGCAAGTTTGCAATGTTCAATACACATCCGTTGCCAGTGGTTGAACTCCATTTTCAGGAGAACTTTTTTTGGGTGCGGGCAAGTGTCCAAGGCAGAAGTGAACACGAACAGGTGGATTTATTTATGAACGATATGGTATTCGGGTGACTCTAGCAGTGTCCTGACAACCCTTTTATGTATACACCTTCATATTTTGGATGAAGTGCTCCTAATCATTCAAGAGCTTGCTCGCTTTGGCAATTCTGCTGCCTGTTGAACGTGAATGTTATCCATCCAAATTTCAAACAATCTCAGACCGAGCCAAAATAGATCGTACCATCCGTTCCAACATAATTGTCCATCACTGGTCCTTTCTACTGTTCTTTATGTGTAGCTTCAAGCAGTATATAGAGCACGTTTAGTCCAAGACGTGTAACTCCATAGATCCATAGGTCAGTTTGTGTGTGCGTTATCTGGTACTCGTACCTTAATGAACAACTGGTGACGATTTTCAACTTCTAGCCTTTTTTGGTACAATATTGGTGATGTTTAGTCAATGGTTTCCACAGGATTTAGGAGAGTTAGTTGGATGTTGGTGAAATACGGGATGTAGTAGAGAAGGGGGCCAAAATCCCAAAGTAACCAAACTTCGTGATCACAGATCTCATCCTTTTTGTTTGTGAGCCCCAAACAATTCAAACCTTTACGACTTTTATCGATTATACCGGAAAACCTTATGAGGTCAGTAGGTAACTGACTTTTGACTGGGAACCAAACAGTACTCTTAAGCGATGCTGTAGACTAAGACTTTTAATACCTCGGTCTTCATCGATCCTCAGTCGTAGGTCCTTCCCGAAGTGCAGGTCACATGAACGCCTACTCCGTGACTTCTTTTCGGAGAACCATCCCTCATCAAGCGTATGGCAGGACCCGTGATTATCATGGGTTCGTGCTCGTGAGAAGTAACTTTATGTTAAGTTAAAAGAACTGCATGTAACTGACACTCCTGAATTGACTTCGTGCTCTCGCGAATACTGTTTTACCTGAAGATAGCCAATAGTAGTTTAATATTGGTCTAGACGCGCAGCTTCTATGTTTCCACAAACTTGCATATTCACTGGTACAGTTGTTGCCAACGCTTTTGTTTTTTTGGTTGAAATGTGGTATGTGTTTAGCCAAAGCATGCTTGTTTTTTCTGTTCACTGCCCTTTTAAACGGTCAATATGGTCGGTTTAGCGATGGAGACAGAAAGTTATTGTAACTCGATTGACCCCGTCCGCCTCCACCCATTTTTGTCATGTCCTTCGACCGTCTCTACGAGCAAAACAAACAACAGAACTGAACAGAAACAAGTGCTTTCGTTCAATAAAAAATAGGCCGCACACAAAACACATACAACGAGAAGGGGAAACGTTGCTCAAATTTATTGATTGGTTAGCGAATGGAGGAAGGTTCTTTGTTGCAAAGTTGTTTATAAGAAAACACGAACTAATCAGTTACCAGACATTAAGCACGAAAGTATACGTCTCATCTGCACAAGGTTTTTGAAAAGCGAACATTCCCAAGCTTCCTCTGGAAGTTTCCTGGACGTTCATTGGATATTCAACAATAATAAACAAACATTGCCAAGCGGTTCCATAATTTCCGTATTAACCTTCACCTTCCATCTGCTGCGGGTTCGGATCTCGGACACCATATCATAGACTGCTTGCATGGTTAATCAGTAGTATACACCGTTACGCTTGGATTTCACTGTGTAGTCACCCATTTCACATATTTTTGTGGTTCACACTTGGGACGTGGCCAAGATGCCGTACCCACTACGCCCAAGTCTACCTGCACGTTGACCAGCCAGTACTTCGGTAGCCTGTATGTCTACGCTGTTACTTTTCCAAAAGCATTATGGAGCTCAAGACAGTGCTGAAATTAAAATGCAGGCTTCATATGAGGACGGTCCGTGTATCAACTGTATCTCTTTCTACTCGATTGCACGCGTCTGAACCTGAGTGATTTGACGTTATCCAATTACCCCATCTTTCCCACAGGTTTCAGACCAGTTATGGGATAGGAGTCCCACAACTAAAATAACCCATTTACCTTTCTAGTTTAACGCCTTATACTTGTCTTGTCTCGATTTTCTACTAACCTTGCTCATGGCGTAATCAGTTAGAAAAACACTTTATTCTACCTACTTTCGAACATTTAGTGAACAGAAGTGTCAAAAACTTGTTCACTCAGTCAAGCTCACGCAGCACCACACAGTTTCTCCAATGTATGTATTCCATACAACAACACTTTTATTGAGTAGTAAGTAAACTGTTGTTCGCTAACTAAACTGCTTTGGTTGTTATTACCTGGAGGTACCGATCACAAGAAGCTCAGTACCATAACAAGTATCCCTCTAAATTTTCTTTTTTGTAAAATACAGTTGAAATAAGGCACGTTTGTTCCTATTTCAACGTTTCATTCTGGGAAAAATAGTAGTGGGATGAATGGTGGGCTGTGAGGGTCCTATCACTGTTCAGTATGAAGACGAGTCTTGAACTCGGATAGACAACTAGATGGACCGATAGCTTTATCGGAATTTGCAGGTTAGACGGATGAATAGGTCACACCTTAACACCTTATTGTTCAGCTAGACCATTCAGTCTGATGTGTTCTTCTGAGCCATCCAAACCTGAGTAAGCGCATTCCTAACTGCGGTCGAGTTGCATTTTTCGTGTTTTCACTTTCTGTTCGCCTGTAATGCATACTTTGCGTCGGCGTTAGTACTGTACGCTTGTCCTTACAGTTCAAGCGTTGGTCGAAACATCAACAGATTTTGCCCTTTGTTGCGTTCGTTTTCAAGTCGCTTTATTCCGATTAGCTGTGTGGATGCCTTAGGCTTTCCATGACTCTGTAATCTACAAAATACACACCGAAAAAGTTCAGGTCGGTCCTGGATAGTTTAACCACTAAAATCAAAAACATTGTTCTGAAACATCAGCAAGAAAAAAGGTAAATAGTTAGCTCAAGGTCTTTTTCCCGGGGAATTTATTTTTGGAGCTAAATCTCTGATATATCATCGCTTTCCACTCAGACACCACCACATTGTAAAAATGATTGTTTTGCTCGCTCCCTTTTTCCACGAATAATTACCGTAGTTTTTGACTACTTATTCTCCACCTTACAAGTTTTAAGACAGGATTGGATGTTTTGTAGAGTTCACAAACTGCGCGGTACACCGTCGCAGTTTTCAACCGCTGTTTTCTTATTCCAGTCCGGTATTCCGTTCATTTTGTCGGTAGGTCGGAATCAGATGTTTCTTGGTTGGTCCTCATCATCCGCAACCTGTCATTCTTTAGCAGTTGCTGTTTATAGCGTGCATTGCTGTCGTACGAGCTTGGACGGTAGTACAGTGCGTAGCAAGTGCTCGGATAAGCTCTCTGAATCACTGTCGTCTTGTCGTCAGCCTTTCCTCTCAAATGTTTTCGCTGAAGACCTCAGTCGTCGTTCCATCTTCAGTTTGGCATTCAAGCCGAATGTCAACTTGCCTCTGACCTTCAACAGCAAGTCTCTCCGGTTAGGTTACCTTGGATTATTGCTAAAGTGGTGGTGAGAACATCTAAACGGCTTCACAGTTTGTGTAACTATCTTTTGTCAACAGTGGGTTGCTAAGCTGGCCGGTACCTACAAGCTGAATCGGACAGGAACCAAATCAGGATAAAGCTTCATTCATGAGATATTCACAGCGATAAGACCAGGTTGATGTCGCTCCGGTACACTGTCATGATCAATATTGTACCAGTCAGCGATTTACTTCCCGTTGAAGATATCTTGCTTGCAAACTTGGACGAACCATTGTATCACACTCATATTTTCCCAGGCACGGACGGAATCACTCAATCATCCCAGGTGACGTGAACTATCGTGCTAATATTTGGGCACTGAAAACCGTTGGTTGTACCCACATATTGGCCTCAACCGCTTGTGGAGGCCTTCAGGATTACACTCAACCTGGTGACTTTCTTATCTTGGATCAGTTCATGGATTTCTCGCGAGGACGCGAACAGACACTTTACGGTGGAAAGCGTCCGGCTTTGGAGGGTGTATTGCATATACCAACGGGTGAACCTTTCTGCGAGCAGACGCGTCAGGTAACGTCTGTGGTTACGCACCCTCAGGGTGCTGCTTCCTTTTTAGTTGAAAGACTGGTAAAACGCCAGTCTAAGCCTCCATATTTCTGACCGTTCAACCCAGCTTGCGAATAGCGCGATTCTTCTTCATGGTTGTTTTGGTGTCTCGTTTGTTCCGCGGATAAATGTCACTGTTCCATGATTAAAGTTTCACTTCCATGTGAAAGACTTCTTAGACACTTCGCTATGTTCTGCCAGATAGATGTAGTACCACAGACATCGACAGACTTTTCAGTAACAGATCTTCCGTAAATTAAATGGGATAAGTGTTCTGCCGCCTTAAAAAAGAATTCTTTCAATAAACCCGTCTTAGCTGCGCGAACTATAACCTCAATGCATTTTATGTATTTCGCAGATGTGTAATTACTTAATGCAAGGGGTTGTTCGTTGGGAATGTCTTTTGTCTTATTTGTGCTACAGTTAATTTTAGTTCGGTCTACTTGCGGGTTAGTTGAATTGAATGGTTTCTCCGCTCGACTGTTGGCTCACCTGGGGCGCATCACTCATCCGCCATTCGTGACCTTTCAGAGTTCCACCACTCACTTTACCGGTGTTCATTTCATCTGTGAGGCTGGCACTGCCTAGGTAGCAGACAATTTACTAGATTGCTTTATAGAAATCACAAGAGAGCAGTTTCATGTTTCTGTGTATCGGGGCCAGCCAGTTCAGGTCGATATTCACACTTACGTATACTGTTTAGTTAACCCAAACAACAAAATCTGTTCTGACGAAGATTTTAGGTTCAGTCGATTAAGTGGCATAAGTGGATTGGTAAGAGAATACGACTAGTCTGTCGCTTCCATCGAGAATGCCCTTGTTGAGAGTGATTAGAAACACCAGCAGCTTAGACTTTTCAGACGAAAGTCCAAGAAAGATACCACAAAACAACCTCTGAACAAATGTATTTGGTTTCGTCGGCATGTTAAGTTAACAACACTGTAGCGGAACATTTAGTGTGTTCTGAGGATCCCACACCACGAGACAATCAAACGCTTTATATGCATGGGATCTACACCCTTGTAGACCCAACACAGCCTTATAAAATTGAAAAATCTAGGCCACTACTCTGCACGCAGGTAGGGAATGACTTTCCATTCGGCCGTCATAGCTATTCAGGGGTTCTCTTCACAAACCCAGTGACGATGTGCTCAGTCCATTGTCTTTCATCTGTCGCTTTTGGTCGGATCACAGCAGCGGTCAGAGTTTAGCTCCAATGCAGTTGGGGCGCCTTAGAAACCAACAGAGGAGCCATAGCGAAGACCTCAGCCTGAGTGTGCTGCTTACATATCCGGGCCCGTTCTGTTAGTGCGATAACCAATGGGACGGCTCCGGACCCAGTTCACTCATTTTTGATTGGCCTCTGGGGTAGACTACTCTTGAGGATCGAAACGCTGCCGAATAATATTTCACTTATTGAGTTATTCACCTAAACCCTAGTCCGTTCCACCTAGCAGTTGCAACCATTTGCCAGGCGGTCATCGGCCAATACTATTAGTGAAGCCAATTCTCAGACCAAAACTGTCCTTGGTAGGACATTGAGTGGCTTAATCAATTAGATTGTTTTTATTCCTATTTTGCGGTGCGTCTATGTATACTGGCACCCTGGTAACCAGTTTATTATGCGGATAGTGTTTTAGGAAACATCTTTCTGGGTTTTTTGTTTTCCTGTTTTCCCTGTAAGCGGATTTAGAGAGTCTGGGACTGCATCGATTAAGTATAACGTATTAACCTTGGGCTTGAGAGTGTGGTTCTAATATAAATGATGAGTTTTAAACCATGACGGATCTACTGCGCAGCTTTGATCTTTCATCGTTGGCTAACGGATGTTTTTACACCCATATCCTTGAATAAATCTCCTCAGTTTTGTTATCCCTGACCAAACTGTTCTGCCAGTATGGGCCAAATTGAGATCTAACTCTTGATAAGTAGTTGGCCCCTAAGGGGTATTCGCTTTTCTTTTTTCTTTCAATATATCATTCGCTCTCTCCTCCCAACGACATTTTAGGTGCTCATTGAGTCGGCACGAGCCCTCTCACTTTCCGTTTGTGATCGGGACCAAGGCCCTCCGGCCTCAAGCTTCCACCCGTGTGTTCATACACGTGGTTCTGCAATAACAATCAGTGGACCGCGGTTCTCCACCAAACTGGAATCCAAAATCTATCGTAGTTTCGGTATCGACCTTGTCAACATGACTCTCGTTCCAGAGGTCGTGCTTGCGCGGGAGGCTGCGATGAGTTACGCATCAGTCGCCATAGTCACTGACTATGATAGCTGGAAATCCGATGTGCAGGAGGTTAGCACGCCATTCTGTAAACATCCTTTGCGATTGTCTTTTTTTACGAGATCGTTTTTGTTTATCCTATTCTGGTATGGTTGGGCTTCGCCTGTGTGTTTTTTCAGTGAGATTGCCCTCCTCCCTTCTCCACGGGGCATGTCGAGATTTAACCTCTCTTCAGCGGACTGAGTGTCGACAGCATGAGTTAACTTCCGCATGAAGTAAGAGCGCCTGCCCTTGTACGGCACTGACACGCTCCCGGAACAGAAAGTTAATCTTTTTACCTACGTTTGCATGCAGGATTATCTTGACAGTTAACTATCAATGACGTTATCTACCTCTAATTAGTTTGGCCCACTTATCTTACGGATGATAACGGGTATCGTTGCTGCTGCTTGCGGCCGACCGTTACATGTTGTAAGCAAATCGTTTCACTTTGTGCAAGCTGAACCATCATTATGATAGCCGTCCGACGGGTGACTCATCATTCGTCTATGTTCGCTCACTCTGCCAGCCGAAGCCTTCATCGGTTTCTCACAATCGACATGTGTTCTCATGCCAGTTTATTTGCCTTAAAGTTCGATCTTTTGTGTTTGACTTGCAGGTATCCGTTTGCGGAGTTCTTGAAGAATTCGGGAAGTCTGCAGAAAAGGTGAAGTTGTTGTTGATCCATGCGGTCCGGTTGATTGGACAACGTGACTGGACTAAAACAATGGAAGCAAATGAGGTGTGTTCATCCCTTTAGTTGTGTGTTTAGTGTAAAGTGGCACATGGTTTTTCGTGCTCCTTGCTGGTGTGGTTGGCGGCTGATGACTAGTAACCCGCCATCCGTTTTTTAACACCCGGAGGCCACGCTGACTGTGCCACCTTGTACAATGATTTGGTGTCAACTTGCCGTTTGTCTGGAGGCATAAGCACCTCAGAATGATTGTGGTAAGCTAGCACTAAGTCTCTTGCCTGTCCACCTTTACTCTTTTCTTTACAATAAGGCTTTCAACTAAATCATGGTTGTACGGCAGTGAAGCATCGGTGTTGAACACTGATGTCATGCTGCTGCTGATGATGGTGATGATAATCCCGTTTACCAACATGAAAATAGGAACTGTGTGCTGCTGTCGACTGGACTGCACTCACAACTCTTAACGAACCCTCATTTCAAGTTTCTACACAGTAATTCAAAATAGTACTACGAAGACGCGCCGAATTAGCTTCCAGTAATCACCTCATTGGAGGGTTCCTCCTGTTTCGTTTCACTCCCCCGAATAACTGTTTGCCGCTTTGTATTTCCTGCTGCTTTTCAGCTTTCACATGTTGCCTAAGTTGACCCGCCAGTATACAATGATAAGCTTGATGGCAACCTATCAATTAGCTCGAAAAAGACCGTACCGAATGACAGAGACCATCAGACTTGGAGATTAATTTTCTCGAGTTAATCAACTTCTGGTTAAGAAAACTGTAATTCCAGCCGTGATAACATCTCAGCATTTACGCTCATTAAATAACAACCATTCCGCTGTGACACCCTTCCGGTGCATAGCTGCCATTCCACCCGAAGGGAGCACACGGGCCGAGATGCTGAGGTTGAGTTCGGACCACGGACTTTTCGGTTTGTAGGCTCGCGCCTTAACCACTGAGCTGTCTCGAGCCCAATTTATGCTCATTATGAGGCAGTTACTTTTAAAATAGGCTCCAATATAAACAGTTGCTTTAAAACGCAACTTTGTGTAACAGCTTTTCCTAAAAAGCTATTCCTTGACTCAAAAGACGTCAAATTATCACACAGGCTGACAACTCAACGGATTCCTCTCAACCGGGCGTTCAGAAAAAAACACTGACCTGATATAGCATGTGGTCTCATCGGTAGCACCTCATACGTATTCAAGTTGAGTACCAGTTTTTGCCGGTGGTGTGACGCCAAATCTTTTGAAAAACTAATCACCTGGGTATGTTCATATATGCTATTACGTTTCCAACGTTTGGTTGATGAAAGTCAAGTGAATCTTGTGTGAAATTAGGACACTGTTCTCCTTGTGATTTTGCATAATCTTGGATTGGCAAAGCCAACTGAAATTTTCCGGTACACCTTGGTAACCATGGTACACAAAAATCGCGCGTTTAGTTTATGCCTCATCTGTGAAGAAAGCTACTCCACTGATGTCGATTATTTTCCTTCATCGTAACGCAGGGATTTGGGCAGGTGCACATTTGAAGTTACGTGTTTTATGTTAGAGCACCGGCCGCCGTATTGACCCATGTTTGTCAAACTCAATATGTTGATGTGTCTCTTACTGCGTTCCTTGCATAGAGTATGCCTCTGTTAATTCCAGTGAATTTGCACGCCGAAGTTTTAATACCTTTGGGGTAACCAGCGATCACCCTTTTTCGTTTCCATTCTGCAAGTGTGTAAATGAAACGGTCCGTGACAGATCATTCGTCCAACTGGCGTTATCTATTAATTACTGGTAATTAGTCCATCATGGTCATCCAAAAACGACATGGCCATCCTCAGTCTTGCGGACACGAGGTTCCACTCAGACCTAGATGTTCCATCAGCGACACCAGCTACGCAGGTCCATGAGGAAGTGTGAATTGCGCTAAGGTGGCGTGCACCTTAGCGGGTAAACTGATTTAACACGTCCATTGGAGGTTAACAAAGGCATCCTGGCCTCTGATTTGTGGTTGTGCACAACCACCAACCCACCGCTACGCACTACTACGCTCCACAATAACGCACTGATGATGTCACCTCGATTGGTGATGAAACGTCTGCAATCAAATTGCCCAGCTCAGCGAACAAGCCAACGACCACCATCTACGATACCTGAGCTACCAACATTTTCCTCTATAGAAAAGTTAAGTGGATTGTTTTTCATATCATCCGTGAATAACAAGAAGAAACCTTAAAGTCACTACCATGGGTGAATTTACCTGGGAATTCGCCTCTCCGTCTTGGTAGGCTCGTACCAAATGTTTGCTCCAGACCATTGGATCTGCCATTTGCTTCGGCCTTTTTCCCACAGCCGTTTTTACAGAGAGGATATGAATCAGGAGGACCAGAAAAATGTTTATTGGGTGCACATCCAAAGGTAGATCATTTTTGTTCAGTTAGTTCACAGTGCCAGTCATTTGAGCAAACCATCCACTCACCAGTCCAACTCACTAAAATGTAGGGTAGGCATATTTCACCAGTCTATCCGTGTGTTAGTTCACGAGAAGGGATTTTCTAGCACTGTCTCGTTTCCTCATTCGGGTATTAGTATTCACAAACATGTTTGCAGTTGTTTGGTGATGCCATTCGGAATATCTGCATCGGCATTACAACGAACCGGCAACAGCGATATGGTGAACGTTTCTCGACATCCTAAGGAGCGATTTTTCTGAAGGCCAATCCATCACCAGGTAGAACAGTGCGGAAAGAAAACCAGGTACCATCTGTGGTTGTCGGTCTCCCTAACTGCCGCCGAACAAGCTGTGTATTATATATGTGTATTATATATAGCTGTTTGGAAATTATACAACTGTTTCTATTCTAAGTTGTTTCGAGTTGCTGATAGCTCTACTTTTGTGTTTCCCCCCCCCCCAGCTTTTGGTTGCCAAAAGTCGACAGGACGTTCTGCACAACTCAAACCACAAGTGAATAAATGTCTGACAGACTGTTTACCTATGCCTTTGCGTTTAGGTACATTGATCTCTTCAGGTTTTTTTCGATATACTCTTCATTTTCATACTAGATTTCGAAAATGTGGATTCTCTCGCAATACATACTTGGCCGTTGTTGACTTGTGTTTATTTCTTCTGTTCGGGTGCGAGTGAACCTCATATGCTTTAACTGTACTAAATCCTTTCGAACAATCCATAGAAAGCGTTAGCTAATTCGGCTGTTTCGCGGCATTCGCTTCTATTTTAAGGCTAATGGACCGCCTGCATACTTTCCTGCTCAGACATACAGAGGAAATGAGTTCGCCAACAGTTTTCTCTGTTGGTTCCTGGAATCAAGGTTGTGTGGGAACATTTTCTCACCTACATCAATTGCATGCGTTCATATCTAGCGACTGACTCACGGCTCATTAATTTCTCACCATGTTCACTTCGACAAGTTTGATTGCCGGTATATTCACGGAATACGCATTTCAGGGGCGAGATGGACGAAGTGGTTAGAGCGCGGATTTACTGACCGGAAGGTCCGTGGTTCGAACTCGACCTCTGCCACTCGACTTCCCCCGTCTAGGCTTGGGCGACCTGGCAGTATCCCAGCCGTCGTGCCTTCTTCGTGTGGCATGGCAGCTAGGCACCGAAAGGGTGCTACAGCTGAACGATTTTTATACGCATTTCAAAAAATCCTAAATCTTGATTTAGGAATCGAATCCAGTGAAAGACCGGTGTTGTCTTGTTTGACGACTATCACTCTTTAGCCTGCTCTGAGTCGAACTTCGGAATTGGTCCTCAATTTAAGTATGATTTTGTACCTTTAACTTGCATAATATCGCCTCCGGATTTTCCGATTTCCATATGTCCCTTTGAAACCCTGAATTTTGAATTTATTAACTGATGCATTTCTTTTGGCATCTGCATAAACCGCGACTACATTGACAAAAAGCTCTTCAAGACTTAAGCAAAGTTCTCCCAACCTTCACTATTCACGGTGTCAGGCGAATTTCACCTCCTCAAGGGTATTGTATGCACAAACAGTCTTAAATTTTGCTTGCGATATTTGGCTCACGCAGTCTGAGGACCCAAATCATCCTCAAACTGTCGTCCTTCGATTCCTCCGCAGCATAGAAGACCATGTCTGGCTACAACATGTCCACAATGAAGCAACGGATCAGCATCACTGGTCCATGGTTAATTGTCGCTTGGCGCTACGGCAAACGTGAAAACTGCTAATCAACCGAACTGTTAACACGACCAATTTTCGTTGCATCCAACTGACAAGTCAGTCTAAACGCATTGTTACCAGAACGGAACTGTTAATTGT